TTAGTTAGATTTTTTTTTTTTTTCAATCTGTTTCTGTCTTTGTAAGATGTTTCTCTTTTAACAGTATATTGAAGGATCCTGTTTTCTTATCCGTTCTGCTACCCTGTCCCTTGACTGGTTCATGTAATCCCTTTAAATTCAGAGTAATTATTGGTAAGCAGTGGAGTCCTAGTGTGGCACTGTAGTATAAGCACTGGACCACAAGATCAGTTTGAACCACAAGGTAATTGGTTCAAACCCACCGTCCGCTCCTAGGAAACCCTATACAGGGATTACTGTGAGTCAGAACTGATTCGATGGCACTTAACAACAACAGTGAATTGATTGCTGTCATTTTGCGATGTGTTATTTTTGTGATCCTGCTGGGGTTTTTGTTCCACATAATTTTCTGTAATTAGCACCTATTTTGTATGCACTGTAGGATAAGCATTGGATTGGGAACCACAATGTCGGCAGTTTAAACCCACCAGCTGATCCTCAGAAATTCTAGTCAGAATTGACCCAACAGCAATTAACAACAATGTATTATATACTGCACTCATAGAAAAGCTGCATTTTCAGTACAAAATAAAAATTTTACACAAAGTGCAAGGTTTTTTGTGCATGGCAGCATATTGCAACAACAGCTTTACAGATTTCCTTTTCTCTTTTTACAGTGGTCCGTATGCTGGTTGATTTATATTAAAGTGGCAGGAACCCACAACTGCAAACCTCAGTGTACAGTTCATATCAAGCAATTCAGTTTTTCCTTGTAATGTCATGACTTCTCTCTGCTTCTTGGGAACACTTCCAGCATCACTAGTGACCCTTCATATGGGTCCCATGCTGTTAATCCAGGTTTACAGTATTACAGTAAATATGATGAAAAATACACAGAAAACATCAGAAATCACTTTTTACTGTGATGTGCAATTTACTGGAGAGACGAACTTCTCATACATTTTTCACTTGATTATTTGCTTGTAAAATAAATTATAGAAATAACAAGTTTGAGTAGCAGGAATACTGTCCTTTGCCTTTGGATAGGAAATATCTTCAATGAGATGAGTTTGTTTCATTGAAAGTTGTTGCTATGTATGGACTTAAGCATTCTGAATACAAAAAGTAGAAGCAGTGGTTTCTATAGTTGCTTGCTTTTATTCTCTGGTCCTAATATGACTGCAGAAAGATTTTTTGAAGGGACTTGATTTAAGGCCTAGGACAGGGAGAGAAGAGACCATTTGGCTGGAGTGTCGGGTGATTTATGAAGTCAGTGCTTACAATATTCCAGGGGCCAGGATGACTTTAGGACAAATGTTCTCATGTATTGTTAAGATGTAAGACAACCAGTTTTATCCTAGCAAGTAAAGATAAAATTTTACCAAAGTGAGAAGCAGACAAAGTTTATCTTTCTCTAGGCACTGTCATTTCTAAAACTTTTAGTAATTTGCACTTCTTAAGTACTCAGTGGTCAGTTTACCCTAAGGAAAGGCTGATTGTAGTGGTCATTTCATGGGTAAAAACTTGTGTCAAAGCTTACCAGATTCTCACCAGCTGCTCCTTAAAACCCTATACAGGATCTCTGTGGGTTGGAATTGACTTGACAGCACTTAACATCAACAATCTTTGCAGGAGCACATCACCTGTTCTTTTGTTGTGAGAAATACTGGTGGATTTTGGAACTGCAGACCTTCCAGTTAGCAGCCAAGTGCTTAACCATTGTACCACCAGGGTTCTTATTACATATGTATAACTTATTTCATATTAATCATAGTTCAATAAGGACAGTTGCTATACTACCTAACTCATTTTATGAGGCTTTAAGGAGCTCTGCTGGTTCTTAAAGCACTCAGCTGCTAACCAAAAGGTGGACAGTTCAAACCCACCAACTGGTCTATGGGAGTAAAAGCCTGGCAATCCGCTAAAGATTACAACCTTGAAAACTCTATGGGACGATTCTGTTTTGTCTGTTAGGTCACTATGGGTCAAACTTGACTTGATGGCATACAGCAGCAGCATGGCTTTGATATGAAAACTTTGATAAATGTAATACAAGTAAAGAAAATTACAGCCCAAACTCTCATTCACATAGATATAAACATCCTAAACAAAATATTAACTCACTGAATCCAGCAATACATGAAAAGGATGTTTTGTTATAATCACGGTAGATTCAAACAAGGAATTCAAGGTTGCATTTTATTGCATTAACAGATTTTTTTAAAATAAAAATTATCTTTTCCTTAGAAAATAGTATTTGATATAATTTCTCATCCAATCATGATTTTTATGTCATAGAAAACCAGAAAGGGAAGGTTTCTTAAGCTGATAAAGGATATATATGAAAACTCTTGCCAAACACTGAAGTAAATCCTGGTTGCTAATAAACTTCCAAGGAGCTCTGGTAGCATAGTGGTTACGAATTGGGCTGCAAACTACAAGGTCAGCAGTTCGAAACTACCAGTTGTTCCATGGGAGAAAGATGAGGCTTTCTGCTCCCATAAAGATGTATAGCCTCGGAAACCCTGTATGGGGTAGCTATGAGCTGGAACTGACTCCACGGCATATCACAACAACAACAAATAAACTTCGAACTGGAACAACAATAGGTGACAACTTGGAGAAGTGGAAAAAGCACTGACCTTGGGAATGGAACTTGGTCAGAGACTCATGCCACCTGAGTTGAACCACTTCTATGCAACCCACCCCCACCCCCCAATCTAATACTATAATTTTAAAAATTAAATGCTTCAGAAAATCATCGGAGTCAATCTGATGAAACTCTTGTTGGAGGATGGATTTGTCTGGTTGACCACATACAAGGAAGATGGCAAACGTCTTGGTCATTCATTATTTCTACTAACATTGTCTCTTTAATGAAGTCTACGTGTGTACATTTCACCTCTTAAAATCAGCCTTCACTTTCCAAGAATTTTTTTTTTTTTTTTAAATACTAAAACCACTTTCTACACAGTATTTCAGTGTTTTTAAATTTCCTTTTCAGAGACTCCTGTAACTTGTATTTTTAAAATCTCTTTCTTGAAGACAAGAAAAAGCAAATATAGAGACCAAACCTTATTGTTGTTAAGTGCCTTCGAGTTGGACCCGACCCCTAGCAACCCTATACAGGGTTTCCGAGGAACGACTGGTGAGCTTGAACCGCCGACCTTGCAGTTCAAACGGCTTTGCAGTCTGGCACATTAACCCACAGCACCAGGGCACTAATAAACCTTATTAGTAGTTATCAAAGGGGGAAGATGGGGAAAAGTGGAACTATTATTATAGGAAAAATTGTACTGGTTAAGGGTAGGGTTGCACAGCTGATTATTGTAATTGTCAATAATTTTTACTTCTGTAAAAAATTGAATTGGCAAAAGTTGTGTGATATATTTACAAAAACAGAAGATAGCTGCTGAGGCTATTGGGATTTGGTTCCTTGGTTTGGTGTTTTAGTGTCATGATGTCATGGGACATCCCAGTTCATTGGGCTAATATGTTTAGTGCTTCTGTTCTGTCTTAGTTCATTGCTTACTACCTGGGGTCTTAAAAGCTTGTAAGTGGCCATTCAAGGCATAACAATTGATCTCTATTTTCCTGGAGCAACACAGGAAGGAGAGTCAGGAATAGGAGGAGGATATGAATGTACATCCAGAAGAAATGGATGGTGCCCAGCTACTGTTTACCATTACTGAATGTTTTGGTTAAAGACCCCATAGATGAATCCCAATCAAAGTGGAGGGAGTATAGAATAGAATTTCAAATTCTCAGGGACTGTAGACTTTCTGGAGCCATGAGTGCTGGATGAATTCCTGAAAGTATTGTCTAGAGATAATCTTTAAAATTTAAACCAAAAAATAGCCCCTAAAGTCATCTTAAAAGCAAACAATAGTTTAGCTGAACAAGTTATAAAGGTCTGCCCTCAGCATCATGTTCTTTAGGGACTATCTGTATGGGATCAAAATGACAACTAGAAAGATAGGAACAACAACAAAACATGTATTTCATGAGATTGGAAAGAGAGGAAGGCTGAGACCAAACTGTCCCTTACTTTCTAATATTTAAGAACTGGAACTTAAGATTCCTCCTATCTACCAGCCCTAGTTTTCTATGGAAAGCTCTTTTGAAAAGAGAAGTGGCTGACTTTAGTGATGTGAAGCATCAGAAAAGTACCATCTTCCTTTTCATAGTGTCTAAGAATCACATCATATAGGCACATATTTTAAGATAGCAGTTTTCAAAGGGTGTTCATACCCCAAAGATGATGATAGCAAGATTAGGAGGAAGGTCTCTAGGTTAAGTTTGGTGAACTTAATCAAATTTGGTGATCCAATTAAATTCTCTTATTGCAGTTTTCACAGCCCTTTAAAATATGCTTGTTACTTTTCTAAGTAAGAAGAACGGTTAGTATATATAGCACTTTATAGACTAACTATATTAAGGACCTTTATGAGGCATACCTTTGTGCTTTCTGGACTATAGGAATGCTGGGTTAATTGACCACCTCAGAGAGGACTCCATTAGGTGGGATTCCAGAAAGCCCTACCAAAGTGACTTAAGCCAATATGGGACTAACGTTTCACAAGTAACAAGAAGTCTTTCTCATGCAGGAAGATTGTTCAGGGCCGGTACAGTGCCTGGATGATATCTGGGAACCAGGTTTCTTCTATATTCTTTCTCTGGTACCCATGGCACTTAAGACTTTCTCATCAGACATATGACAGTCCCAGAATGACTGCTGTGCTACCAGGCATTGGATCTGCATTTTGGGTAGGAAGATGGGTAAGGAAAAAATACAGAGGGCTGTACTCTAGTTATACTTTGCCTTCCTATGCAATAACCTCATCAGAGATTTCTGCTTAAGTTATCTAGATTGGCCTAGACTAGACGTTAAAGGTTTCAACTCTTCAGCTGTTATATTTTCAGACATCAAAGGAAAAGGGGAAGATGAGTTTATCTTTAATCTTAGCAAAATAATTTTATCAGCCCCAAGTCCCTGTAATTCCTGGCTCTTGGTCCTGCAGGTGCTACGCATGATGGTTGGCGTAAATATCTCGGATGAGCAGCTGGGCAGCATTGCAGACAGGACCATCCAGGAGGCTGATCAGGATGGGGACAGCGCCATATCTTTCACAGAATTTGTTAAGGTCAGAAAGTCACTTCTTTTCTTCTGCACAGAAGGGCAGGAAGAAAAAAATTAATTATGCAGATGAGAGCTGGGGACAGTATCTATTGTTGTGACCTTCATACCTGTAATTCGATTTTCTTTTTTTACTCCAGGTTTTGGAAAAGGTGGATGTTGAACAGAAAATGAGCATCCGATTTCTTCATTAAAGGACTGAGACCAAACTAACCCTTGCTTTCTGATATTTAAGAACTGGAACCTGAGTGTCCTCCTATCCACCAGCCCAACCTCTACCCCATCATTTCCCCTTATCCCAAAGTAATACTGTTGCATGACCCCAAGACATGTTCTATCAACACAAACCTGCCTTTGGTGTTAACAAGGCATTACAGAATGGTACTCCTAGCCCATTTTTTTTCAGTATCCATTTACTGTTTTCTCCATTCAGAAATATCTTCTTCCCTGTTCTGCTGACTGCTACACATCCGCCCAGTCTGAGAAAGCGAGAGAGGGAGTTATGCCAAGTACCAGCCAGCAAAGCTCTTTCACTGGATGGTAATGGTAGCCTTGCTGTCTTCCCTCCAGCTAAGCTCCAGCATGCTCATTCATCTTTTTTATTAATATGTCCTTTGCTTCCTACTTCTCAATCACCCAATATAGATTCACTTTGGTTTGTCAGTCTCCCTGCTTTTTATTTAGCCTCAGAAACTCTCTATTTTTCTTGGCACCCGCAAGCTATGTCTGTTAAATATGTTTCTGACTTGGCAGGATAGTTCAGTGGTCAGGCTGATTTTATCTTCCTTTACTTGTAACTGGGTCTCTGGAATATTGCCTCTCCAGGAGCTTTTCAGTAACCAGCACTTCTCTCAGAAGAATGTGATGTCTCATGCGTCCCTGCACTCTGTCATCAAAGAGGTGCTAGATGGCAGTGTTCTTGAAAGGGGGTGGCCCTGTGTAAGAGGTATACAGTAAACTCTTCGGGTGGCTTTGCTCAGATCACTCTACCTCTGGCCTGTTGATATTCACCGTTAATTACTGACATGACTATTCTTGTTTATGCAGTGCTGACTCTTCAGAAGATAGCCATCTGCTTGGGGTTTTGCTTAGTTTTGAGGCACCATCACCACTGAATGGCTGTTCTGACAATATGCTTAGGGACTCTGTGACTTTTTAAAGAAACCTCCAGCACCCTATAAAGCATCCTATACCCACACCTCGGCAGTATGGTTTATACTTCAGTGTTATATGCACTGGAACATTTTTCACTTCACGTTTCCAAGTAGGAAGATTAGTGTTAAGGAAGTGCCTAATTGATCCCAGTCCAAAAGATTAAAGAGTGTCTTCAGTGTCTTGACATTTTGCACAAAATTATTTATGAATTTTAGACTTGGAAAATGATTTGCTAGTCAGCTCCTAGTATAGGCCCAATGCACTGAATGTATTGTTAATATTAGCTGCCTGGTTACATTGACTTCCTAGCTCCTCATGAGGACCACAACTAATCCTTCAGAAACACAGGACCTGCATTGATAACACAACATGAGGTAGTATTACAGGCCTTTGAGCAAGCCATAGCAATTTCTCTGCTGAAATTAACTTAGTTTAGACCTCACTGAAGCAGGCTGTTGCCATCCTAATATCTGTCTGTACAAGTGCATTCATCTGTGTATCTGCCTTTAGCTGACTTTCTCTGACTCATTGCTTGCTTGCTTGCTTGCTTATTTCCTTGCTTTGAAAAGTGATCTAAGATGTGCTCACAATTCTTTTGGAAGAGAATTACTAAAGAATACCTGCGAAGGGATGGGGAAGATAGGGAGCAGAGGAGTGGCCAGGTTGGATGGCTCAAGTATAAATGAATGACGAATTCTTTATGAAGTAACAGTCTGACTTTGTGATCAAATGATGTAATATAGGAATTGTGTAAAAGGGAAGAATTGTTTGATGCTGATCTGTTAGAGGGGTACTTTAGAGGCTCCTTGACTTGCATATTTAAAATTCTTAAGATTATGGTTCCCCCCCTACCCACTTTGGCTGTATAGCAAATTATATTTTAATTCCACAGTTGTGCCTTATTGTTCCATTGAAACTGTATTATTCGATCCATCAATAAATACTTGTGGTTAAAACAAAATAGCTTTGTTTGCTTTTTAATAATGTTGATTTTGTCTGTATGCATCAGTCTTCTTTTTATATACCTCAATCCCTTCTTCAATTTTCAAATGACAGTTTCTTCCTGTAAAAATGGTATAGTGGGGAGTCTGACCTTCTGACTTCCTCTAACTTCACAAAAAGTAAGGAGAATCAAGGTCAACATCCCAAGGTTGATTCCTATGGAGCAGAAGTCAGACATGCCTTATCCTTCCAACCTTTTTCCCAATTCTAACACCAACCATCCCTCACATGGCACACTCGTATTTTTTGCTGGGTTTGATAATTCATTGCACTGACCACACAGAATTCACAAATACTCAGGGAAATTGTTGTTGAGGTTCTGACTCATAGCAACCATGTATAGGGTTTCCAAGGAGCAACTAGCGAGTTTGAACCACCAATCTTGTGGTTCAAACTGATCTTGCAGTCCAGTGCATTAGCCCACAGCACCACACCAGTAATAGGTTACATTTTAGGATAAAAAAATAACTCAGGATACAATTCTTCAATCAAGACAGCCTCTTCTCAACCGTGCCCAGAGACATTCCATTCTACTAGTAGGTCTTCTGCCCAAAAATGTCCAGTTCTTGCTACCTGCACTAACCATGCTGTCTCCTGCCAGTCTTCTGGTTCTGTTACCATCATTTCTCTACTGCAGCTTTTTAATGTCTCCAGTATTAACAGTCTCTCTCTCCTAGGTCCAAAGAACATACTCTACTTGGTGTTAGTCAGCTCCATCTGTTCTGCCTCTGGGATGACTCACTTTAAGCCTAAAGGAATGGCATAATTGACCAGTCCACTCATTAAGGTCCCATACACTTTCTTTGGTATGGGTTGAATTGTGGCCCCCCCCCAAAAAACGTATCACCTTGACTATGATTATGTAATTGTCCTCCATTTTGTTACCTGATGTCATTATCCCATGTGGTATAAATCGTAATGTCTGGTGTTATGAGGCAGGATACAATCTACAGAATTAGTTTATATCTTGACTCAATCTCCTTTGAGATGTAACAGATAAAGCAAGCAATCATAGAGAGGAACGTACTGTCACCAAGAAAAAAGCCAGGAGTGGAGCATGTCTAGGATCTTTACACTGGGAACCTCCTATATCTGGGAGAAGATTGTTAGAGCTAGAAGGCCCACATTAAGTAATCTACTGCATCATACTCAGGTTTACCTCTGCGATCTAATGTAACTCCACTCTGCTGCCATGTAGCTGTACTAGTTGGGAGTATTATCTGTTTGCCTTGACATAGTTTTATGAGCTTCAATTACTACATATTTCATTTCAAGTAGAATTCTGTTCTTGACTCCCTAGTTCATGAAATGTAAAAAAGCATAAAACTGGGGTATCTACCTATTATCTGTCTCCTCATGAGCAGCCTCTGTTGACATTGTACTTGACTTTTATATGACCTCATATCTTCTAGCTTACTGTGTATACAGTATGAGTATATTTTAAGGTATGCCACAGGACTCAACATAGTAATAGCCAGAGTCAGTCATCTGAATTCTAACATGATGTCCTCCTGTTCTTTTCCCATTCCTCTGCCTGAAAAGTCATTTCATAATGTCTTGCATAGTGCTTCAGCTTTACATGTAATTTTAGGATCTGGAAAAAGAAAAATGGAGTGGCCCAAACATTAAACACTGTTTGAGGAAAGTCTCCTTAATATTTTCATTTCCTTTGCTCCCATATATTACATACTTTAACATGAATGGAATGTACACAAAATAGTATCAGTTTTTTTTAAGTGAACATAATATTTTCAATATCTGGCTTTTCTACTTTATATTAATGGTTACATTGTCTTACCAACTTGATGCAACATTTGTTTAGCCATTACTTTTTTTCTTATGGTTTCCCAATTTTTGTTATGAAATTAGTGATAAAGCAAACACCTTTTTTCTTTGAAAAACATTTTGTAAAATTGATGTTACTGTATCAAAGTTGGGCATTTATTTGTAGATTTTGATAATTTCTAAAAAAAAAAAAAAATGCCACAAGCATTAAATTATTCTCTTTTACCTTCAGTATTCCTTTTTAGAAGATATTCATTATGGGTTGCCTGTTTTTCTAAATTAATTTTAGAATCATGTTGTCAAGTTTTATATTTAACATGCCGTTAGAACAGATTGTGTTGATTGGGTTTGGGAGCAAGTATTGACTGCATGGATACCTCAGAAAAGATTGTCTTTATAAACTGGAACCGGCTTCCTCCTACAAACCAGATATTTACCCTGTTCACAAATACTAGGAGCAGAATTGTTTGAAAGAAAATCATCATTGGACTGAAATTCACATTACTTTGGGTGAGCTTTGAGTCAACAAGCAATTCATACTAAAGATGGGTTGGTTTGTCAATACAGACCTGTTTTTAACATCTAGTTTAGTAGAATCACCAGTTTAGAGATTTTCTTGTTCTTTTCCTCCACAACAACCAGCCCCAAGATTTGCCTAATGTATTTGTGAAGGACTGCAGATTGTTTCCTGACAGCTCTGGGAGGAAGCAGGCAGTAAAGAAGAGGGGCATCTCTTAAGATGGAGTAAATAAGTAGGCTGACAGCTATATCTAAAAGTATAAGTTGATCTATGACTTGCTCTCGAGATCCCCAAGTCGCCTCTACTTTCAGTTTTCTAAGTGTTGTGAATCGTATTCTGTCATCCAAAACTGCAAAAATCAATTGAACTCCTATGGCTCAATTTTCAGCCAAACAATAGATAGGAGCAACAACAACAATAGTGAAGTATGCACACCATAGAATGGTCAACCATTGGAGATCAAAAGGGCAGCATTTACCTAAAAACAAAATTCAGAAGGATGGGGAAAGGAGGAATGGAAACAAAAACAGAGGAACTTGGATAAGTGATGATACACTGAGGGGATTTCAATCGAGATGAAACAAAGTGTATGATCTGGTAATTGTAAAATTGATGACCTGCTCTATAGACCTTCACACAAAAACTTCACACAGTTGTTGTTTTTAATCACAAAAGTCTTTATTCAGAGATGTGGTCCTGACAATCCCCACCACCCTTTGCAGTCCAAGAGCT